TATGGTCTTAAACCTGGAAACATGTACACTACACTGACAATGACCTGACTTCTACAAGACCTTCATGGGTTTATTATATTAAGTTCATCTAATAGATACATTTGACACATCAAAGGTTATTTAATAATGTTTATTGCAATGAAAATACTTGAAGTGATTTCACACTTAAGATCTGTCTCTCAAAACATCATGTTATTTGTTTAATTTATCAGTCATTTCTATTTCACCTTTACAAAATGTTTGAAATGAAGCCATTTCTGTTCGATAAAAAATATATACTTTTTGCATGTATTGACTTTAAAATGTCCTGCTGGCTCACAGCTCAAACAGAATATTGATGCTTGATAAGAGAAAACAAGGTCAGTATCCTTGAGCAGTATAAGTTTAGCCTTTTAGGTTTTATGAACTATTTGATTTCACTTAAGAGTTTCAAAAAGTGCTGCAAAAACTCTTCCTCTGCTTATAACTGACTTGCTTTATGTGTTAATACAAGGATTATACATTGAGTTGATAGATTCTCCAATACAACAACAGCAACAAACAAAGAGAAAAAAACTCGGACAAACAACAAAGGAGTTTCTATTTCATTTACATGTTTAATTTCCATTATTACCAGACCAGGATTAAAATGTCTGTACCCATTCTCATATCTTTGCCTGACCTTTCTTTGGAGTCCTGCGGGATTTCTGCCTCTCTGTGAACCTAACCCGGAACTGTTTCCTATTTCCCCTCGGCACTTTTTTGGACCTCTGATCTCCTGGCTCTGACTACCGAGCATATCTTCAACACCGGCTTTAGCTTCGCCCTCTGGATTATCCTGCTTTCCTTCGTCTGCTCAGTGATGAGCTCCTGCCTGATGAAATCTAAAGTGTGTCCTGAATTTTGTGTAGACTGTGTAACATGTTGAGTCAAATCAAAGTACATAAGTTTTACAGTTTCATGGATCATGAAATATTGCAGCAATCAATTTTCATAGAGATAGAGAGAGTTGTACATGTTCAAGAGCTTTGTATGCTTCAGCCTGAACTTGGATGAGAACAGCAAAAGGAGAGGGGTTTGAATTCATTCTGAAAACTTTAAGCATTCTTACATATTCCCCTACAAAAAAAGCCATTGCAACAACACCTAAAAAAATAAAGCATCTTCAGGTGTTTCATGGTCTTGGCTCTGTTATGTTTTACTTTGCTCCATGTTTTCTAGTTTGATTGTTTTAATTCCCATTTTGTGTTTTCTGGTTGTATTTCAGTTCTTAGGTTTTTGTTTGTTGCCCTCTTGTGTTGGTCTTCTTTTCCCTAGCTCCTTCCCAGACTGCTCTGTTCACACCTGTTCCCAATCTGCTCGTTAGTCCTCTCTTTGTTCAGTCTCCTATAAAAACACTCCTTGTGCAGTTCCTCAGTGCTGGTTCCTCNCTCTCCACATACGTCAGAGTCCGTTTCCGACAATTTGTGGCACTGACAAACGCGGACAAGCGCGGGTTGCAAATTGTCGGAAACTGACGAAAATCAGGGAGATCTGCAGGAGTTTATGGGGACGAAAATCTCACTTTTCATGCAGTGATATAATGAGGTTTGCAGGGAGGATCATGCTGATCTTTCCTCCATCCAGGATCTACACAGGTCTAGTCAATGATTGGCTGGGGATGGCTATGTGGCTATGGCATCGCTTACCCCCCTCTATTTCCACCCCTGCTTACTCTTTATTCATAGAGCAAGTTTGTGCAGGGATTAAACAGAAAATAATTCACCGTGAATCTGTTTAGTTTTAATAGTTTTGAGCTTTTTAAGAAAATCAGATCAGTGACACCTGTATTACTTGCTTATTTATCAAACATATGAAGTTTAAAACAACCTTAAAAGAGTCTTAAGTGCTTTATTATCATCTCTACAACAGTGTAGAGAAAAAATTAGCCACTTATGATCTGAAGCTTAGAAGCTCGTCTGTGGTGATTATTTTATGAATGTTGGTTTAATTTCATGCTTTGGGCTACATGGCAGCTTCTGGAACAGGATCATTAATATTTATTGATGACGTAACTGATGATGGTATCAGCTGAATGAATTCTGAAATGAACAGAAACATTCTGTCTTCTAATCTTCAGAAAAATGCATCTAAACTAATCTGGAGGAATTTATCATGCAGCAGGACAATGACCCAAAGCACACTGCTAACAACGCAAGGGACTCCATCAGGGGAAAAAGTGGAAGGTTTTAGAAAGGCCAGTCAATCACCAGACCTTCACTCAAAAGATCATGCATTTAACCTCCTGAAGAGGAGACTGAGAGAGAAACCCCCAAAATAAACAAGAACTGAAAGTAGCTGCAGTAAAAACCTGGAATAGCATCACAGAAGAAGAATCAACAATTTGGATGTTGATGTGTATTAATACATTTTACTGTATATCATTAGTTTAGTAATGTAGTTTTAGGCTTATCTTTAAAAAGATTGATCAGATTGACATGTTTTAAAATGTAATAAATAATGAAAAAGGATGATCTGAAATGTAACAGATGTCTTTGAACAACAACATTTTCTCACACTTCCCCTATAGACAGCATAAGATAAGCACAGCAAGAATCCATATTGTTTTTATCTGATAAAACTATAATAAAGCTGATTCTTATCTAAAATTTATCTAAATTCTTAGTAAAATATGGCATTCGATACAAGGTATTCATATGAATGTTTTTAAAAAACAATGATGGTTACAGATTGAACATATAACTATGGCTCCTGCTTAATTATAGCATAGAGAGGAAAATACTGACCTGGAAACCAGATAAACTTTGGTTCACTGTAAGCAGTGAAATCTACTGGATCTCCTCTTCCTGCTCTGCACACATATCCTGCTTTGTGTTTTTGCCCATGAAGGATGTAGGAGTTCAGTTCAGTTCTGTTGGTGATGTTAGGCAGCAGCTCTAAGCTGTAGGATTTGGATGGTACATCAGGAACAGCTTTATACCAGAAGAACCTCCATCCTGCAGACTGAGGTTCAACCTCACAGCTCAGAGTCACTGAGGCTCCAGGACTCAGCCATGATGGAGACACAGAGAGGACAAGGAGAAGCTCACCTGTTGGAATCAATCATTAGGCAGCATCAGCACTATGATGGAGGAATTGGACTTTGAGTGAAATGTTAGATCTTAAAATTCATTTTTAATGATGTTAATGATATTAGCGATATAAATGATCATTAATAATGGGAGTTTGGAGTCAATTAAATATAAAAAATGTTGTGATACCAAAACTTAATAAACATTAATTAAATAGTAGTTTAACAGCAAATCTTATATCTAAGAAAATAACTAGTGATGAATAGTCCAACTAATGCAAAGAAAGAGCATCATGGCTTTGATGTTTAAAGCTTTATTCCACTGCAGAACCTGCTTTCCTTTAGCTTTTATATGACTCAAATTATCAGGAGATACTGATAAAATAAAGAAATATAAGATCCTAAATGAAAAAAAGACAAATTTAAGTCAATAGAGGTGAGAGGCACTGGATTAGAAAAAAAAACATTGCAACTATATTTAGTAATTAAGGACCAACCATTTATCTTGAATCTGTCAGCAGGAGGAGATTTTGTGTTGTTTGGATAATAAAGATACTTAACACAGTAAGTAATGTATATTTTTTTTCCCCCGAAAACATTACATCATTACTTCAAAAAAAGATACCCCATCATTTAACAAATCTGAAATCACTTTTTGTTTTTATGATGAACAGAAACAAAACTCACCAGTTTTCCTTACAAAGACTTCATTGCTGCTTTCAGTGTAGAAAACTGTATCTCCTCTTCCTCCTCTGCAGCTGTATATTCCTCCCTCTGAGATGCTGATGACTCCATCAGGATCATTGTTTCTGATGGACTGAGCTGCATGATACCATGACTCCTGTCTGAACCAGGCAAACTTCCATCCAGCAGAGCTAGGCACAGAGCAGATCAGTGTTATACTGCCCCCTGCTGGTATGATTGTTTCCTCTGCTGTCAGTTTGGCTCTTGGTTTTTTTTCTATTGAGGGAAAAACAAAAACAAGTAAATCTCCAGTTGAGAATTTAAAGCCACATTTGACATAAACAATGGATCAACTTTTTACTGACCAACACATTTTTATTCAAATTTTTTTATTTTATTTATCGGGCTCACATATTTATGTGGCAAATATTTTTTTTTTATTTTTTATTTTCCAAGTATAGTGAATGTTAACTTTACAATGTTTATGTGTTCATCTTGTTCTTAAAACCATTCACTGAAAAATATTTTTCAATGGAGAAAAAAATATATTTGAATCCAATATTATCTAAAACAAAAGAGTAAAGGCAGAACATTTCCTGAACTGTTCAACATAATCTAACTCACCTGTAGCAACGTTGTGATCATAATAGACACTAACAAAGCTGATAAGATCCTTAATATTATGAAATATTTAATTCAAACTTTAAGCATAAACTTTAAAGTCACCTATTTTCTAAAATACAGGGATAACTTGTTATCCCTGTATTTAAGTTTTGAGTAAGTCAGTAATGTGTGGGTCCAAATTNCCTCAATTGTTCAAATCCAATGTGGGACACCACACTGACACAGGGACCTAAAATTCTGCCAAATAATAATTATGAGTAATTGCTAAATATTTGTTGTGTTTCATATATAATTGTACTGGGGACTGCAGCTATGGGATCTGGGCAGTAGCCTACACTACACTTCCTCATTAAACTTAGTGCTGGACTGTTACCAAAAAAGGGCATGGGCATTTTGACCAGAGACAAGCCCACCAGGTATTGATGGAAAGCCCTCTGACAGCTTGTACCTCAAAATCTATAATGAACCAAAGGTTGTAGATATAACATTACATTTTAATTAACAATCCTCCATCAAACATTTAATTTGTTTAGAGGTGTGTGTGTGGCCTTGATTAATCTCCACTACAGTATATTTCTAGGTCAATATTGTGATTTGAATATTTTAAATAAATCAGACATGAGAGCAAACATTTCACATTCAGTGTTATTTTATTGGTTGCATATTTTTTATATTGACATTACAGTTCATATCCTTTACTTAAACACCAAACCCCACAGATAACAGCATTGTGTCATTACTGTAGTTAATTATCAAAGTAACAATTCAGTGTGTTTTAGTTGCAGGGCAATCTCCTGGAGGATAATGAAGCTAAGTGTCTGGATGTTAGTTTTCGTCAAAAGGTTTGAGCGGATCATCCCACTTGTGTTGTTGTTGAACTCCCATCAGGTCTATCTCCAATCTATCCGTAGAAAAACTTCGGAAGACCCACAGATGGAGGTAATCATTATCATCTCCAACATAATACTGCAGGAAAACAGAACAGTTTTTGTTCTTCATTAATCACTAACTGTAAGTCATTCAGAAAACATTAAATTAGAACAAAAGTGTTCCTTCTCTTAGAATAATGAAGAAGGGTAATTTCTGATTCTTACCTTGATTAAATAATGGTGAACAATGTTCTTTACTCTGTAAAAGAGGGCTTTGTAAATCTCATAATCCATTCCCGTTTGACCCTCCACTTTGCTCTTCACCTGAATAATAAAAAAAAAAAAAAAAAAAATTAAACCTCGAACACCAAAAGAAAGTTTTTCTTTAAAGTTTCAAAGAATGAACAATGTGAATGAGTCTCACCTTATCACAAAGCTCCTGAATATCATTGGTGGCATATTTTGTGTCTGACCATATAGGGACTTCCTATCTGTAGTCAGAGCCAGGAGATCAAAGGTCAGAAGAAGTGCCAAGGGGAAATCCAGAACGGAGTCAGGAAACAGTTCCAGGTTCGGTTCACAGACAGGCAGAAATCCAGCAGGAGTCCAAAGAAAGGTCTGCCGAACAGATCAGAACAGGGACAGGCAGGTTCAGAGGTCCAGAGGCAAAACGGGTCAGGATCAGGCAATTAGAAAACAATGGTACGCTAGAGAACTCTCACCACAGGGTTGAATAATATGGCACTGATTTCTGGTCTGAAGGCTGGATAAATGGAAGGAGAAGTAGGTGAATCAGATGAGCAGTGATGAGAACTGAGCAGAGATAAGCAGGTGAGTGAAATGAGTAATCAGACCAGACATCACTGCAAAGATCATGACAACTTATCAATAATATAATNCAGGAAAACAGAACAGTTTTTGTTCTTCATTAATCACTAACTGTAAGTACTTCAGAAAACATTAAATTAGAACAAAAGTGTTCCTTCTCTTACAATAATGGAAAAAGGTAATTACTGATTCTTACCTTGATTAAATAATGGTCAACAAGTATGTTCTTTACTCTGTAAAAGAGGGCTTTGTAATTCTCAAAAACCTTCCCCGTTTGATCCTCCACTTTGCTCTTCACCTGAATAATAATAATTAAAAAACTTAAACCTTGAACACCAAATGAAAGTTTTTAGGTAAAGTTTCAAAGAATGAACAAAGTGAATGAGTCCTACCACATCACAAAGCTCCTGAATATCACCGGTGGCATATTTTGTGTCTGACCATACTCCAATAGGGACTTCCATTCTGATGTCCTCTGCGTCGTCTGAGAAAAAACAGCTTCGGTTTGACTGAAATTGTTGATACCAGTTGAGTTTTGAACATATTTATACTGCAAAGCCTGCAGGTTTCCTGAAGGGTGGTTCAGCTGTACAGTGGGAGGAGCTCCATGTGAAAAGTTCCAAATAATTCCAGCTTAATCATTTTGTAATTTGACTGTAAGGTGGAATTTAGATAGCTGTAAGATGCATGTTAATGAATAACAGAACCATGACAATCATTAAAACAACACAAATAATAGTTAAACTGATCTATGTCTCCATACAAGAAAGAGCAATTTATGAACCCTTTCTCTTGTCTAATCACTATATTTAATAAACCAGTTTTGTTTAAACGCTTTGAAATTCTACCTTATAGCTGCTACAGTTCCACAGAAATGTCTGGTTTGACTTGATTGATGCTCAGTGTTGACAGATTACTTGTTAGTCCGCTTTTTTCTTTCACAAGCGACAAAACGTTTAACAGTTGACAGTGACTTCAATAGTTTCAATAGTTTCAATATATTTCCTGTACATGCTTTTATTTTTGTTATTATTTTTTCCTGAATTGTCTAAATATAGGGCTCAGAGGTGAAAAATAGCAACATAAAAAGTATAAATAATTGTATATCCACAAATTATTGCTATTATACTTGACCATTGCCATTGCCACAGAAAAATTAGCCCTTGATAGAGCAAGTTATCAATTCTGATCACTAGCATACCCCTTACAAATCGAGTCCCCTCCGTCCCTCAGTGAGGTCTAGAAGCACAAGAGCGATATCCAGCCATTCAGCAAAGATACTGCTACATGGCTGTACATCTTGTTTTGGCATTTAATCAGTTAGACGAGGCCTTGGATGATATATTACCTACTGCAAATTAAGTTGGGGGGAAAAAAAGTAAACAAGTCAAGAAAAAAAGGTAAAAAGCTAATTTAAAAGTTAAAAAGTAAAGTTAGAAAGTTAATAAGCGTAGTGAACAATTATATTTACGTTTATAAACAAAAAATGTGAGCGCCAGTATCAGCATTAATGTCCCTAAGGTTATGTTGTACCAAAAAAAAAAAAGTTTTCTTTCACACTCAGATTGTTTTTCATTAATTTCTTATAGAAGCACTTTCTTTTTTTTTT